TGCAGGGTCTCACTACTAGATCGGACTCATAGTGATCTGCCTCCCAGAGGCTGTGATTATAGGTGTGTGCCACCATGCCCAGTCTCAACATCTCTGTATGCCCTGGTGGTGGGGCTGGCACAGCAGGCCCTCCTAATTTCTTTAAGTCACTCACATTATGTTAGTTTATTTCTTACCTTATCAGATTATTCTGGAAAGAGGCATTTATTTGAATAACATCTGACAACTTTCAGTCTCATAATTATTTTCAATTGTACTTCTAATCATTATGCATTCATTTGACATGATGTACAAATGGGCCAGTAGTGATAACTACCTTATTAAAATATGTTTTCATTTATAGCAAGATTTTATTTATTTATAGTTTTATTTCATGGTTATATGAATTATTCTAATTATCAAAGAAAGAATTCTAAAACATGGTTGAGATATGATAGGAAGCACACAAATTAAGTTCAGTGTCATCCATGATATAAAATACTACCAGAATACATGGAGGCAGTTCATGTACTCCTAATGCAGCTGTCAGCCAACTGTCCAACTGTAATGTACTCCACATTATAAATAAGCTATTAATTGAGGCAGCTTCTAAGAGTCCTACCACCACACGTCCTTTGTGCTTTATAGATTTCTTTTTCTGCTTTTTTTCCAGTCTAATCCACCTCATGCCAATACGTCTGTTTTCATTTGCTTAGAAAGGGAATTTTCTTTTGGAATTTATATTATAAACAGTTATGAAAAATGATGTTTGACATGAATATTATTAAAGTAGACACAATATGACAACTTACATACATTCATTATAGATACTCATTTATTGTTTGTCAAACACAAATAGACTCATGCAAGGTTTGAATTTTGTTCAGTACTCATGGTCTTCTTACAAATTCAAAACTCTAAGTTTTCTCTGTAGTATTAATTTGACTGTTGCCATGGGAGATGTTTCATAATAGTAAATATTAAAAAAAATACAAATTGTCTACCTGAAAGTTTTCTGAAGCATAAAATTTTACATGTAATTTTTGTGTGCTCCTTTTTATAACATTGTGACATTTTGCTTAGATGTAATTCTAGGTGTGCTCGTACTGGTTCTGATGAGCTACTTCTCTTTGGGGCTTCCAGGCATCTTGGCAGTTAATTCAGAAAGAACTGACTTAAGAGTCTAAGTCTAGTTGTATCACATCTTCAGCACTCTTGTTGATGTGGTAAAATGGGATGTTTTGTAAATAAAGATGGCATTTGTGGAATGTTCCTTTAGAGATGCATTGTTTTTTTCAGTTTATTATCTATCAGATACATTTTTTAGCATGGGATCTCAGTTAAGTAAATTATAAAGGAAGATTTTAAATTAAATGCTATGGAACTTATATTAAGAATAACAAATTATATTCTTTTAAAAATGTATTTATTTATTTCTTTGGCACAGGGTGTCACTACGAAGCTTGGCCTTCTAGTGGTCCTCCTGTCTCAGCCTCCACAGCACTGGGTTTATGGGCACGAGAAACCATGCTCTGTTCTGTGGCCAGACACAGCATGGGGCTAGCATGCAGCCCCATGCAATCTCTACCAGAGATTGAACATGGGCCCTTGCACTTGCCATACAGGCATCTAGACCACTGAGCTATCTCTCCAGTCCCAAGAATAACAGATTATATTCTGCAAATTGTTAATCAAGTTTTCACTATGGAAATGTGTAACATAGATGTTTTGCTTTGCCTGTACAGAGAACATTTGTTTTATTTATTCCGGACAGTAGTATAAAGGAAACACACAAAAGCAATATTTTGGCTCTAATCAATAGATTTATAATATTTTAATAACATATATCATTTTAATAGAATATCCTACTCCTGTAAAGAAGTTAATCCATGCTCAGGTGGGAAAATTAGATCAATTTCAATAAGATCTAAAGTTTCTTTCCATAAGTAATTGCAGTTATTTTGTTTTGTAATGAATAAACTACAGAAAGTGCATAAGTCAAAGATGACACGGATTGGTACAGGTTCAAAACCTGAAGGTTCCTGTACAACAGGCAGCAAAATCGAAATGTAGAAAATCGGGACTGGCCAGATAGCTCAATGGATTAAATCACGAGCTTAGGCAGATGCAAGCACCAGGGCTCGACACCCAATGTGCCATGCGGGTCCCATCCCCAGGTTGAGCTGAGAGTGCGACTGAGACTGGGCGTGGTGATGCGCGCCTGTAATCCCAGCGTGCAGGAGGCTGAAAACAGGAGGATCACTACGAGTCCAATCTGTGTAGTGAGACCCTGTAGATCCTGTACTAAATACATTAAAAAAATTAGAAAAAAATGTAGAAAATCAAGACCTTGAAGCCCCTATCATGAACTCTTTCAAAAGTCACCACGCGCCTCTGCAGTCAGCAGTCTACCAGATGCGGTTCTGACACTGTACAAGCATCCTAGGCTCTTGCCAAGTTCTGCACCACTTGTTTTACAGTGTAGGCTTTTAGATTTTCTAATTATGTTCATATTTCTCCTGATAATCAAATGTTATGTTTCATTGTGCAGGTCCACAGTGGTATCCTTCTCGAATTGGGCTACAGCTGGAATGTGGTAAGAACCAATTTCCGGTGATCGATGTGTTGAATTTAGAATCCCTTTTCTATCAGGAAGAGCTGACATTTATTGTTTGCTACATTCTTCTTTGATCCTCCTAAGAAGCTAGTGCTTCATTTTTATAGCTGGTAAAGTTTAGTACCAAAGGGACGGTTTTTGCCAATTTGCTGTCTGTAAGTCTCACAGGTAACATCTAAACAAGCATTTTTCTTTCTCCAAAGCTTTAACTGTTGAGCCATTACAGTTCTCCTGGTCTTTCATATATTTTCAGGGATAATACTTGTCCCTTTAACTGTGTTTACTATCATTCTCCTATCATGAATGGAAAAAGTGAATATACAGAATTATATTCAGTATTCATCCTCAGGTTTCTAGGATTTTAGAAACTCTTAGCAAATGTATAATATGCTTAAAATGAATCCTATTTAAGAATCATCATTATTGGTATTACATCAACTGACCTTAAATGTGGGAATTTTTAATTTTAATGAAAACTCTGGGTAAAATACATTGTTCATCTTTTTTATTTCATTTTGTAGGTAGAGAGGGACAGTTAAAGTTCTTTATGTCTGCAAGAGGCACTTGATAAGAAAATGAAATGCCTAAATTTTCCATTATATAGTGAACTGAAATTTCATATTATATTTGCTGATATTTAAGCCATCTATTCTCAGAGATAATTGAAAATTTAAAAAACCATGAATTTCCTAAATTTTTTTGAAAATTTTGTTTGTTGTCATTGTTTTCTCAACATTCAATCATTCAGTGACACCTGTATACTAAAAACCATAATTGGAATCCATAACATTTTAAGAGTTCACACTGTTTTTCGCTGAGTATTGAATGTAAGGATTTTACATTGAGATGCAATTCTAGCCTTATCTGTCTGCCTGTCTATCTATCTGTCTATCTATCTATCTATCTATCTATCTATCTATCTATCTATCTATCTATCTTTCTTTCTATCTATCCATCCATCTACCTATCTATCTACTTACCTACCTACCTACCTACCTACCTACCTACCCACCTATCTATCTTTGGGAGCATGGTGTTGCTAAGTTCCTACATTGTCAAAGGTTGAGCTGACAATCCTCCTGCCTCAGTCATCCAGAGTGATGGAATTATAGACTTGACCCACAACATCCAGCTAGAAGTCACACTTTTGATTATCACAAAATCTTTCCTGCTCAGATATGCAAGTCAGTTTTTGCACTTTAATACAATTTAAATGAGCAAAATCATTCTCACAGTGTCCATGCATGGGTTCAAATGCATGCATGAAGTGGAAAACTTGTGAGCATTCTGAACTTCTCTCAGTACAAAGAAGGGGCACCAAGAATGTATTTGGCACCAATGTCAAATATGACTTCCATTGGAAGGCACTGTAGGAGGCGGAAGAATCTGTCACTTGGATTCTCTGTTGAATATGACATTGTACTTTTGATTACATTGATTTATCTGCTCAAAGATGCCAGAAGGTTATCAGAATAAAGAAGAAAGGGTGAGCCAAATAGCTCAGTGGATTAAAGCACCTTCTTAGGCAGATGCAGGGGCCAGGAATTCAATCCCCAGGACTGCAGTACTTGTCCTGCCCCCAGGGTGCACTGATAGGGTGATTGAGACTGGACATGGTGGTGCACACCTCTAATCCCAACACTTAGGAGGTTGTAAACAGGAAGATCACTATGAGTCCGATCTAGTAGTGAGAACCTGAACACCTTATTGACCCTTCCCTAAAATACAGAAAAAAAAAAGAATAAAGAACAAGTGTTTTCTAGATCCTTGGATAAGAATACGATGATGCATTTAGTAAATGAGTACAATAATTTAATGACAGAAGGAAGGTACGGTATAAAGAAAAGTTTGTTCAGGTAAACACAGAATTTTAACCTTGACCCTTCTATGCAATGATCCTCTTGTTTACTTAGCCACAGTTTCATTTCTAAGGTAGAATTAACAAAACTTCCAAATCCTTTAAAATTTTAAATTAGGTTATGGTGGTAAAATATATAATCGTGGACTTTTCTTCTCTTCACACTAGTTGCAATAATATATAAAACTGTTTGTACAGTATTCATGTTATAGCTTCACAGTTTTGACAATTTAAGATTAGGGGTATGCAGCACAAAGCCTGGTCCATTCTTGGCAAGAAATGTGCAAAGCAAGCTAGAGTTAATCTGGGCAAAAAACTTTGAGAACATTAACTGGACAAAGCATGACTTAAAAAGAAAAGCAGGCACTCCAGTCATGGATTTCTCTTGGTTTCACATATTTCTCAGTTGGAAAAGCACCTGGGTCTTGGTTCTTGAGTCAGCGGATGATATGCTTCACAGTACATCTGGACTTTGCTGTGTTTTTTCTTTAGAAGTGTCATATTGCTCAGGGACTACATTTTAAAAATGATGTTGATTCTCACTACCTTGAAGTAAGAAAGAATGTTAAAGGAGTAGAAAATAATCCTCTAAGAAGGGCAATACATGTGCATCAGAAAGTTTTCTCAGATGTAAGTTGGCCAATG